AATTAAAGATAAAATCCTTAAAGCATCTTGCATTCATTTATTCCCTCATTATTATTATTTTTTTTTGTTCAAACAAATATGTGTTGGGGATTTACGATGCTGGGCTTTTGCTAGGAGCTCCCTGAGCTTCATTTTCCTCATCTATAATGTGAGAAATACCTATGCCACAGTGTCATTGAGTGAATTAATGGTATAAATGGCATACTCATTTGTTTAACAAAGTAATAGTCAAAGAATGTTAGCAATCATCATCAACATTATTATGTTATGGTATATAACACTATATATAGTATATATTATATTAATTATTATATACTAAATTATATTAATTAGTTTTATTTATTTTGATTACTCTAGCCTTGCAAACATGATAGTAAAAATTGACTTCAAAATTTGTAATTAGTTTATCCTCCCATTTACTCAACTAGATAATACTAGCAGATATATATAGAACCTTTACTATAATCACCTCATCATTTGAGGATTAACAAAATTTGGGCCCAAAATACCTTTGAGCCTTCTGGAATATAAGAAAGATTTTTTGTCATTATTAAAAACTGTTAAAAGTATTCTGTATCAGGCATTTTTCTACCAACTATGTGTGTAATAGTTCACAGTTATGAAGTAGGTTCTATTTTTATCCCAATTTAAGGATGGAGAGCCTGAGGAATAGAGAGGATAAGCATCTTGCATGAAGTCACTTCACTAATGAGTGGTATAGTGGGATTTAAAGCATATCATGTAGTTTTGTTTTATGTACATAGGTCTCAGGGAGCTTGAATCTTCCCCATTTCAGACAAGAGGCACCATATTTCTTTTAGATATACAGAAGAGAAAAATTGAAGTCCTTTTTGACTCTTCCGTCTTCATTCCTTATGTTTAAGCTATGACAGGTCTTTCATATTCCTTAAAAAGATATCTCTAATGGAAAGTTATGCCATTTCTACTGCCAACACCTTCGTGTAGGTCTTGACTTTGCCATTTTATGTCAATTAATTGCTTCATGGTAACAAACTTCTAAGAGGCTGGTCTTCTTAAATCTCCATCTGCTTTGCTCAAGGACCTACTCCATTTTTCAGTTCTTATGGAGGTGATATGCAACCTCATCTGCCTGGGTAGAGCTCCCACAGCATGTCTTCAACAACACCAGTAGTCTTTACTTCCTCATGAGGCTTCTTCTTTTTCTAATGTGCTCTGAACATATGGTTCTAATTACTACTTTGCTGATGCCATTTCTTTCATTTTGGAAGATTTTCCCCAAATCACTAAATCTTAAAAGCTATCTTTATTTAAAAACCATTTCCTTTATATTGTCTTTTGTAACTAATCAGAGGGCTCTAATAACACTCTCTTATTATTATGTATGCTTGTTTTTCTACATACTTTGGCACTTATTTGTTTCATTGTTATATATTATATTATTCTTGTTTTGAGAGTAAAGAGTTTATTTTTCTTTTGTACACACTCTATATCATCTGAAATCATTCTAGAAAAATATCTGACGTATGGTACTGTCTCAGTAAAGTACGATTGAATTCAGTCTGGGCACTTGAGTTATACTTGCTTCTTAGTTGTTTATTTGTTTGGTTAGCTAATTAAAAGCAACTCTGGAAGAAATAACCAAACTCACATTACAATGCATAAATTTTGACTACTTTCTCTTAGGTATTTATCTTAAAGAATAAGTTGAGGAGCTCAAAGATTTAGCTTCATGGATATACATGAAAATGTTCTTTATAATAACACAAAGAAATATAAATACAACAATAGAGGATATAAGAATGTATATGTTCAATCAATACTATACTATTTAACTTTTTAAAATTATGTAGATAATTCAGTTGCCATAACAAAATTAATAAAAGTGTTTGTTGTGATTTTGCTTTTGAAGTTCATAATAAATATATTTTGATTATTGTTTTTGTAAAAATCACTCTATATATTAATATACACATATAAATCAATAGATACAAATATGGAAAGGTGTATATGATATGAATATTTGTTATCTATGGTGCTAGGTAAATTGTAGATTTTTTTTGTTTATCTGTATTTTCTGATGGTAATTAGTTTATCCTCCAAAACAAAAAAAAATTGTTTTTGCAAAACATTGCAAAATACTTTGAAAAGAATTATCATAATTAAGACCTTTCTGTTAGTTATAGACTTTGCGTGTTTTCTATACAAGGTGATCAAGTTAGCTGTTTCAATTAAATGACTTTATTTTATAACCACAGTAAATATTTGTTAGTTAAAATATATACTGCCCTAAACATTGTGTACTCATATTTAAAGTATAATTTTTATATCACAATTTGTTTGGAAAACTGTCAAAGTATAAAATCTGTATAATGCCAAATTTGAAAATGAAATAAAAATATCACCCAGAAATAGCTACTTCATATGTGCAAAAATAACCCTAAAAAAGAATAGCATTACTCTGTCTTCTAATTACCAAAGGAGGTAGTTTGGGATTTCATGGAGAATGGCTTTATGCAGGAGAATTGTTTATTCAGGAAAATGGCTTGAATTTGCTTTATAGAATACACGTACAGTTTAAGATCCTAAGGAGAGCCTGATAGCGTAGAATTAAACAGGGACGCTATGTATACACATATACGTATACACGTACATGCATGCATAAATGAATATTGTATCTATCTGGAAGGGTAGGTGCTATGTTCTAAAACAAAACTAAATCACAAATTTAATTACTTCACAAAATCATTTAAGTAAATAAAATAAACTCATAATTGAAACCACTGATTTTATCACTTTTTATAGAAATCATATAGATTTTAAACCTATATAAAAAAGGTTTTAATCAGGATGAATATTTTTCAAAGTATTTAGTAATTTTTAAAAATTACTGAAAAATAAAGAAAGAAGTGAAATGGGATCCATGAAGCAGAGGACACTAGATATGATGAGAAAAAGGAACATCTACTTCTTGGAGGAGGAAAACAAAGATAGCATCTCCAGCACTCTACTTGTAGGCATGGAGGGAGAGAGATTTTTAACCTACAATTCCTTAGGTTTTAGTCAGGGAGCACTATCCTTTGTCACTCCAAGTTCAGAAGGAGGGACAGAATTGATGACTATAATTTTCTGTGCCAAACCAGATAGAATGAAAGTTGAGTAGAATGAAAATACTACTTGAGGTAAATATTGCTTCAAGCTGGAAAAGTGGACAATAAAATATAGCAGACAAGAACAGACTGTTTTAAATCCAGAATGTTGTTCTCGAATACTGGCTTTGCTACTCATTCGCTTAATAGTACCCTTTTTAGTACCCTTAACTTATGCCAGGCAAAATTTTAGGCACTGGTGTTAAATTAGGGAGCAAAACACATATCCTCTCTCCTTTATAGTTTAATGGTAGAAATAGACATTAGTCAAACAATCTTACAAATAATGTAATTACATACAGTGTTAAATCAGTCCAGGGAAAATTCAGGAAGCTGCGCAAGTGTGTTTTGGATGTAGTAAATCTGAAAACCATAGAAAATAACCCAGGAAAGAAAATAGACCCGAGGTAGATGGCAGTATGATGCTCTTTATAGAAAGGCAGGTGGCTTGATCATAAGCATCAAAGTATAAGTGAAAAGATTATCCAAGAGATGTGGGTGAAACAAGAACACTCAGATCTTTATCCGAGGACAAATGAAAATGATTGAAGATTTTTAAGCAGGAAAGTTACAAGATCAAATTTCTGTATAAAAATCAATTCTGACTGCATTAAGAAAAAAGGACTGAAAGATGTTTGAGTATTATGGGGGATTCAGTGAACTGGTATTTAAAACATTCCAGGCAAGAGACAATAGTAGCTTGAACGAGGGGTTGGTGGTAACAGAGATATAATGGAGGTAGTGACTGCTACAGTACTGGCGTTTGCAGCTAATTGGAAAAGGGTGCCAGCCACTGGGTTAGGGAATGCAAAAACAAGACCAGAATTAATTGCATTTTAACTTGACTAAGTTTAGTTTTAAGATGCTTTGGATATCTAAAAGGAAATGTCAAATAAGTCCTTGGATATAAATTCTGAAGCTCAGAGAACCCTGGGTTAGAAATATTAAGCTAGTGTTTATTGGCTTATGGTTGGTTATTAAAGTCATAGGCATGGATGAGATAACTTGGAGAAAGAGAATATAAAGAAGAAATCATTGGATAGACCTCTGAAGCCCTCTCCTATTTAAAGGCCAGGCAGTGCCAGCAAAAGAAGGAGCTGTTAGAAAAGTAAGAGATAAACTTGGAGAAAACGAAGCAGCCATGGAAAGAAAATGCTTCAAGAGTGGTTAATAGTGTTGAATCCTTCTGGAAAGTCAAGTTCACTGAAGACTGAAAATTGACAAATCATGTAATTGGAACTCTGGGTGCAAAAACTAGAGTGCAGTGCATATATTATAAAGAAATAGTTTCTGTATAGATAACTCTTTGCTAGGCAAGGGGAAAAAATGATAGCTGGAGGGAAAGCTGGAGTCTAAACGTTTTTAATAGCATGGACTTTTAAATATGCCTTGATACCATGAAAGTGATCCACTAAAGAGAGTGAAATCTACAACAGAAAAGAAAAGGGATAAGTAAGAGACAGCTATGAAAACATTGACTAAGTTGTTCAACGTCCCTGCCTTGGTTTTCACATCAGTAAAATGGGGGAAAATATAACTACCTCATAAGATTGTTCTAACAAATAATATGATGTTGATAGAATGCTTAGTAAAAATTATGGCACACAGAATACATTTAATAAATTGGTGCTTACAGCACCTAATACACCTTACACACATTAGACGGTTGATAAATATTTGTTAAACATTGAATGAATATGATTTTGTTATGTGATATTTTGGTTAGTTGGGAATATAAATGAGTCTGATACATATTACTATACACTGGGTCATAGATGCATTTTGCATATTCACTGATGATGATTATGATGATGATGACATTCAGTGTTTGCCATCTAATAATGTTGGTGTTTGGGGCATTTGTGTTCACAGGGTACTATTTTTCTGCCTGGAAATAAAGTCCTTGAACATCCCTGCAATGAAGAGAGCCCAGGGAAATTCCTTTTTGAAGTAGTTCCAGGTAAAATTGTTTTCTGCATTGATTACATTATTCCTGTTCCATGTTGGGAGACGTGAAAACAGGTCAGAATGCCTTTATTCTTCCAGAGTCATGGCTGAGAACATTAATTTGAGGAGGCAAATATCAAATTTGGTTTGTATTTAAACAGATAATGATGTCAGGTTTGTACAGGGGTACAAATGATTGTATACGCACATATACGTAGCCACATGATTATTGGATATCCATTTGTCCACAGACCAGAGTGATCAGAAGTCATGACACAATATGCCTAAGAGAATGTTAGAAACAAAGTTGACTTTACAGTGCTCTTGTACTATGTAATTTTGGCAAGGTATCACAGGTAAAATGCATTGTCCAGCCAGTTTTCTGTCATAATTTTCTCATAAAACTACATTGTAAAGAAGCCTTTTCTATAAAAACAAAACAAAAGAAAAATCCTCCTTCAACAACTGACAAAATGTTACAGTTCTATACCTCAACTTTGTTCCCAACCAACCACTTCCACATATTAGATTTGTAGAGTTGAGGATGTCTCTGCCAAGTTATAAGATCCTGTAGTTAAATTTCTTCAACATCTATTCAGTTTTTTCTCATCATCTTTACCCATCCCTCTCAGAGTATCTGGTCACCACTGAAATCTTTGACTCACCCAGCAACACTTTCTTTAAGTCCATGATCTACTTCTTTGATGAGGTCTTTAGCCCTTCCTTAATCCATGGCGTAAGAAAAAAAGAATTAGGGATGTACTTTTTATAGCAATGGCTGACTGACCCAGTTGATGTGATATTGGTATTGATTTAATCACAGCCTAAGGAGAGTGTGAATTTATTTGGGTGATTAATATGTAACGCATATCAATAATGCTGACACAGAGGCAGTCAACAAAAACATTTTTTCCACAATTATAAATGCTGGGAATCCAAAATGTGAAAGCATATTTTTTCCCCTCAATGCAAACAGCTGTAGCACTGAGTTCATCTGGCTTACAATGGAATCCATGACTAAAGGTTAATTAATGCAGCTGAAGTGCAGAAAGGTTAGTCAGATGCATCGTGTTATTTGTTTTCCCCCAGGGAGAACATATTGTAAGAAACCTGAATCTTGTTTGCCCTATTAAAATCTCTTTATACTTACTTCTTAGTGGAATACACTGTATGGAACTAGATTCCAGATGTTGCAAAGTCTTTGAAGTATCAGTAGAGGAAATTTCTCCCTCTATTTATTCTCAACCATTAGTGCCTGTTGGCTTTTAAATGAGCATGGTATTAAACTGACAGCTTTGACTCTTTATTTCCAGTACTAAAGGTCTACTTTCCCGTTCAATCTACTAACTGGGTAGAGATTTCATCTTTCAGTGAAGACGTTCTGGTATAATATAAATGGATATTATCAAGACTTCTAGAGACAGCTGTGCCTTCAGCTCTGAGTCATGAAACCTCCCCCCGCAAGACTTGCTGTCCTAGGGCATGTGTTTCACATGCAGTGCATAGAAAATAATGGCCTTTGATGAGCAAAGCTTAAGAAGTTCAATACTGTATGATACAGAATCTTGAAGGTTGTTCTTTAAAAAAAAAAAAAGTTGAGCCCATAGCTCATTTGCAAAGATGCTTCCTGAATCATTAATACAATATGTATAGCTTCTAAATTATGTTTTATAACTCTGAAGTGACAAGAGGATTGTGTCAAATGCATCTTTGAAGTGAGATTTGGAAAATCACTAGCCTACAGCGAGAAGTCAGTGTCTGCTCCATTAATCTTGGTCATTGGGTTTTTATTGATGTACCCCTGACTGATATCAGTATGGAATTTCAGGCAAATGCTTCTGTATTTGTATGAAATGTGGGTACTGTATCCCATAATTTTAATCACTTTTTCAAAATCAGGATTACTCAGAAATAGACAGACACTTGATTTATTTTTGCAAATGGAAATGACAAAATAGTATTATCTAATCTTTCCAACTGTGAAATAGTTGGACATGGGAAATTTGCAAAGTTGCAAGGTGTTTTCATTTGTCAAAAAGTGTAGGAGATAGGAAAGACTGTGGAAATGTGGTCAGTGCCTTGAACAGAGTCCTCTTCAGGGCTGCCTGAAGGCATATCTTCATAAAATGTACTTGTTCTACCTGGCTTTCTCTGCAACATTCTCTCGATCACCACTTCTGAAAACCCATGCTGTATGTGATACTTACAGATTCAACACTATTCACCATTTATAGACAAGTACTTCAAAGCCCAGCTACCCAAAGCTGTAGCGATGAATAGGATAACACATTTTAATCCCACCTTCCTATAATGATATTTAACAAAACTGACAATAACCTCCTGGAAGCTCTTTGCCAAATATCCTATGTTTTTCTATGAGTATTCTATGAGTACTATGTACATATTCATGTATTTGTGGGTATATGTGTTGTTTGTGTATGTATGTATATATAGAGAAAGAGAAATTTTATTCAGATATGTACTGTATATCTTTATAGTTTCCTCATCTTTGTTGTTTTTGCTGTAGTAGCCTTAAATACCCTATGATCGTAAGTATTAATCATGTGCAAAGAAGAAAAATAACATTTTTCAATAGGATTGAGGGTCCTAAAAGCAACTCTATGAGGCAGGCTATATTATTACTTTGTATGTTATCTTTCTAAACAGGTTTAAATCTTTTGTAAAAACCTAAGAAACACCCTACCATAGTTTAGAGTTAAATTCTTATAGACTTGCTATCTCATAAAGTGAATTCCCTTTGAATAATGCCATGATTTAAATCATTTCACTCTAAGTTTTCTCCTATCTCTCTACCTGTTATTCAAAATGGAAGTGTTAGCCAAATAGGCAATTTGGAGACTTCACTGTCTGACATTCCAGATTTTAGACTGGAATGAATTTCATGGCCAAGTGCTAAGCTTTTGGGAAATGTGGTTGAGAAAAGAATGTTGGCAGACCTTTAATGTATAGTGCTGGAAGAAAGAAAATGGCCACTTTGCTGTTCTCAAAATGTACTCTGTGGAAGTTTTTCTTGTGATGTTTTAAAAATTCAAAAGACTAATTAATGGAATGAAGATGTCTTAACAGTCCGTCAGAAGGAGGAAAAGAAATAGTGGTTCAGAGACAGAGAGAAATAGGCATAGAGAGACAAGGAAGTATGTGCTCCACCCAGTTAGGAACCACATTTTTCTCCTTCATTACTACAGTCCTAACACCTAGTACAGTATAATGCAAGAGGCTGAATAAATATTTATTGAAGTGTATGCATTTACCAGGTTTATAGAGGAATCTCAAGCATATGAATTTTTATTTTTATTTTTGGCCAGATATCACTACCCCCAACTTGGCCACATTGACCTCTTACTTCCTGCTGTGTAGGATCGTTCCACCCTCTGGTGCAGCAAATACCTCTGTGGCTCTAGTGGCTGAAGTATGGGAAACCTCACATTCTCTTTCCTACTTCTCTGCCTTCCCCTTTGATAATGAGAACAACAGAAATGTGGGAGAAGGTAGTCTTCTTACATGGAAGCTTCTCCAGGGGTATAGCCCCTTAACCCTGACTGCTTATTACATTTCTCCTCAAATGCTGAGTCTCTCATGGAGTGCATTTGTGAATTTTTCAACATCCCTACACTTGTAAATGCACTTCACATGGTAGGATTCCCTACCTTGGGCATGATGTTGTTGGATGGAATACCGACAAAAGGGCTCAAAGGCCACCTGCTCTCTCTGTGCTTATTCAGCGACCAGGACACTCATGTATTTGCCAAGGGAGAGTGGTGCAGGCTGTTTCGCTGCTGCTGCCTCCCTCCACCTGCCCCCTTGCCCTGCTCTCCATGGAGTGTGAGCTTCAGACCCAGCAGCTTCCAAGGCTTTGCTAAGCCTCACGTGAGCCTTCAACTTGGAGTAGTGAGGGTGACAGCACTAGCGTGTCTGAAAATTTACGAGCAACTCTCTCATGCTTTTTTGATTTGTACTGATTGTTGGGAGAAATTCTTTTCTGCCCTCCCAAAAAATAGTGTTTATCTTGAAAACTGTTGTCTCCAAGTGGCACTTCCTCTTTTCTAGTCTTCCTCTTATAATAGTCAAGGGCAGGAAAATGGGGTTTGGGTTATTTCTCTGAAATGCATTCTCTATAAACCCTGTAGGGAAGTGGCTTGGCGCAACTTCCATTGTTTCTTTTTCAACTTAGAATGTGAGTTTTTAGTGCTTTTAAAATTTATTTTTTGATCTTAGCAATTCCCAAATAATGGGAAGACAACTTTTTAAAAATCTATAGCTATCTATAATCTTAGCCTGGATTCCAGGGAACATGTTTTGATGGCGAGTTATGATCAAATGTTTATTTGGGAGTGCTCTCTGAAGATACTTCTTCTGCAAGGAAGTGAGGGGAAAAAATGGAGCTCAAGGAGAAGCTGTCCCATAATACCATTGCATTGAGGTCTTAGCTGATGCTATGGGGAGCCCTGGAGCTGGAGTGTCACTCAGAGATGCTCTAAAGTGAGAAACCAAACCTGTTACCTGGCATCAGTTCATCTAGTCACTGATTACGGGGGGCGGCGTGGGGAGACAGCTAAACTGGGGAGAAGTAGTTTCCTGTTGCAATGGAGAACAGTTCCCATGAAGGCCATCAGCAGTCAATACACCATCCTCTGGGATTTAGAGCATTAAATATCCATGGAAGCCACTATAGCTTTATCTGTAGCTAGCTTTCTCTCTCCCAGGCAAGTCCTGGCTCTACGTGTATCACTTTATTTAACCTTTACTAAAACTCTATGAGGCAGCCTATTTTATTATTTCCATCCCAAGAGAAAGAAACTGAGACACAGAGAAGTAATTTTATCAAAGTAAAACAGCTAGCACTAGCCAGTGAATGTATTTGTAAGTGTGCATGTGTGCATGCATCAGTGATTTACCTTTACAGAAGTAAAGCTCCCAGAAAATAAAATAAAGCCATATACACACACACACACACACACACACACACACTCTCACACATATATACACATGTGT